AGTTGCACCAAGCATGGTTTACACCTACTGTTGGTAAGTATGTTTAAGACAACTAAGTTATGAGCCGCTAAGCTACGGCTAACAACTAAGTTATGAGCCGCTAAGCTACGGCTAACAACTAAGCTATGAGCCGCTAAGCTACGGCTAACAACTAAGGTATGAGCCGCTAAGCTACGGCTAACAACTAAGTTTTGAGCCGCTAAGCTACGGCTAACAACTAAGCTATGAGCCGCTAAGCTACGGCTAACAACTAAGTTTTGTAACTTTTGGTACAAGATAAGGAAAATGCCACATGATACACAAAAACAAACATTTCTCAATCTTTTTTGTTTTTTGGAATAAAATGTACTGTTGACAAAATATTGATCTTATAATTAAGTATCGTACTGTATTATTTATTTATATATTGCAATTAATGTTATTTCTGTGTAAACAACTTCAGAATTTTATTACGTGAGAAACCATAAGATTCAAACAGCACCTAGACTAAAAGTCGAACAAACCAATTTCCTGAATACGTCAAGAGCTCCTGATCGATAAAAGTTGTAAGAAATTCAAAACATAAAAAGACTGCTCGACGAGGCACCTCATTAATTTTTATCATTATGTAATTCTACGGTCTCAGTTCCTAAACAGTTTGCAACAACACTCAGTGCTTAGTCTGATATTTCTCATATGAAAGTTAGCAGTGACAGTAGAGTCAAGACTCACATTTCCAGTCATTTATATCAATTGTAAAGAGTTAAACTATTAACTTTTCGGAAAGGTTAACCCAACTCATTGGTCATTATATCATGTATTTATAAGTGTTACACAACAAGATGAATGAATGTAACTGATTTGATTTCATTCAGATTTCTGTTACGGTCAAAAATTGATTAACATATCAATACTTCACTTATAAAGTATGATACAACAGTGGAAGAAGAATTATCCACGTAGCCGGAAATTACATGCTTGGTGCAAGTATATGTATAATAAACATACTTACCAACAGCAGGTGTAAACCATGCTTGGTGCAAATAAATGTATAATAAACATACTTACCAACAGCAGGTGTAAACCATGCTTGGTGCAAATATATGTGTAATAAACATAATTACCAACAGCAGGTGTAAACCATGCTTGGTGCAAATATATGTGTAATAAACATAATTACCAACAGTAGGTGTAAACCATGCTTGGTGCAAATAAATGTATAATAAACATACTTACCAACAGTAGGTGTAAACCATGCTTGGTGCAAATATATGTATAATAAACATACTTACCAACAGTAGGAGTAAACCATGCTTGGTGCAACTATATGTATTAAGCCGTAGCTTAGCGGCTCATAACTTAGTTGTCTTGGGAGGGAAGGATATCCATGTTAATGGTACAAACCTACACATGTTTATCTATTCTTTCATAGCTTCCTCTTTGTCATTATACAAGTTTTGAAAGGAAAAATAATTCTCAATTCTACCACTGAAATGCATGTAAACTCACAGTTACGAGCTTTTGAAAATAATACACGTTAGAACACCAGGAAAAAGTTTAACTTGTCAGTTCTTACAAGTTTTGTCTAAAAGTAACCATAGCAATCCCGTTAGGAGGTGATCAATTATAGCTTCGTTCAAACTACTGTTTCCTAAAAAAAAAACACTAAATGATGGGATTTATGAAATACGTTATAACTGACCCAACTTCAAATTCCACTAGAACTAAATAAAAATCTAGACTCAGAAGATATTCCTATCAAATGTGGTAAGTCATTCTTGAATGCAGGTTTAGAATTTCACTGTTAGATACAGGCCATTAAACTACTACTAATAGAAGTATTACAAATTTCCACTAATATTTTTCTAAACAGCAGTTTTTTTGTTTTATTTTGTGCAAAGCAATAAATAATATTGTTCTGACAAACGGTTACATATACAAAGGAAAGTTTATCATCCACCACTATGAAGCACAGTAAATTAAACCGAAATATGTGACATTTATATTACCAAGTGTTTGAATAGTAACTTTCTGAAGCTATAACTTAATGCTTGCTATTGAATAAGTATGGTATTTTAATTACACTTATTGCAAAAAAAAAAAAGACAATTTAAAGGTACTTTCTTGGAATGTGCTGGTGAACATGAAGAAAAACATAAATATTGTACCTTTGTGTGTCAGAAACACACACACCTCTTCCTTCTGTTTATACGTATCAGAGCCCCAGTTAACCTAAACGTCATCAAATATACCACCTGGTGGATGTCCCATTCTACTGTATGTTTGTTTGCCAAAATCTTTACCAAACCCATACCCCCGAGATTCCGACATATCTATTTTTAAAGGGTCTGAACCAAAACTTGAATAAGATTCTGTGAAGTTGTCGAGTACTCGACCACCTCGTTCTTCGGTGTAGTCCACCGGCTCAACATCTCGTAACAATTCAGCTCTAGCACTCTCATCCGATCCTGATCTAGTCATTCCATGCCTGTCTATATGGTTATTAATAAACAGATGATTAATGAAAATATTCCAGTATCATCACTAAACAAGATATCTCAACCAAGTTTCTCTCTCAATGTAATGGCTAATACAATATTTTAATATTAGAACTTGTAATGAAAATATTAATTTAAGTTCCGTTTTCAAACATACTGAACACTAAACCTCAATCGTCATTTTGACCAAAAGAAAATTTTAATTAGTTTAGATTTGATATTAAACAGAACTTTTATCATAGCCGGCTGCACACACAAAAAAGATATATTAAATTAACAGTTCTAATTAATAATTTTGGAGAGAAACAACCTATATTAACTAACTTACTTCTATATTTGCAAGGAGCCAAGTAACATGCAATATAGCAAGGGCTAATTTTGAATCATTGTATTTGAATCAAATAGAAAAAAAAAGAAAAACTGCGAAAAGTAATAGAAATATTCTACAATAATAAACAAGTGGATGAAATGTACTTCAAAGTCAGTTCAGTTTCTGCTGGATCACAGAGGATACTTGAGGTGATAAACAATAGAGAGTTAACCTCTCCTTCAAAAAGTACTAGTCAATGTTTATAGCTACTGTCTGTTCACACCGGTTAATGATGTTTATGAATAATGGGTAGTATTCGTCTGTAAAAAGATGCAACTGATGACGTCATGTTGTCAAAATAACAGTATTTAGTTTCAAACTTACTGTTATCGCTGTCCATTTCAATATGATTTCCACGAGCACCCGACTGATTTCCAAACCTCATCTGGTACTGCCGCCTACGAGCCTCACCTTCTTCGTATCTTTTCTTCCTACTTTTTTCTAGAGAAGAATCTTGCCACTTTTAATGTTATGCTCATCTTTAAGCACTTTTCTCAACAACATTAACATGTATGCTTAGGTACTCCATCGATTTCGAATACATTTATCCAATATGATCATTTAGATAAATTTAATAAAAACATTGTGTCAAGTCTCTTCTCTGTACAATACTTTAAACACGTTTACACCTTTAAAGAGCATGTTATATCTCTGTATTTAAACTATTTCTAAGATACTCGTAAAGTTTTGTTAATTTAATTTATGATCTAGAAAGTATTGCTTTATTTTCACAACATTTTTAAGTACATCATTATAATTGTTATCTACTTTTGAGACGACCAAATAAAACTATCACACTTCGTTCGGATATACTTACTCCACAACTCAAACGATTTCTACTAACCTCTTTTTATTAATCCTTTTCCTTCTTCGATCAGGTCAGCCGTCATTTCATCCTCACCAAGAAACTGCTCAAAACCAACCATATGTAGCACACGGCTGCCACAGTGGAAGTAGGTGGCGAGACAGAGCAAGAAGATGAGGATGGGAAAGTAAATATTGAACCCGTCCGATATGATAGAAATCACGTCCATATGACCCATGATCTGGTGGAGAAGATCACATATCAAATATTAATGGTGTATTTATCAAGCTCGTGTCTTGCCTCGGATATTTCAAACTTGTTACAATTTGGCAAGAAACGCAAGTTACTCGTTTCATTTTTACTGCATTTTTATGTTACGTTCGAGAATAAAAGTTGTTTATAACACTAAAAAAGTAAAAAAAACAAAAAACCTAGTTATTGAATAGCTTAAGTTAACTAGAATGGTACAAAACCTAGGGTGTTTCAAATCAGTTATATCAATCAGATTTGCCATGCAGCTTGTCCGACTCCAAATGTATCGGACTCTTCCTTTCCTTTGGAGTAAACCAGCCAAGTCGAGAGGGGGATCTTGACGTGCGGGCAACCCAGGATCTCCACAATAACTGCCCAGGCTTTTTGCACCCTGGAGAGGACATTAGATATTGATCCAGACATGTTGGAAAAAAAAAACTCCTGAGAAAAGAAGTGACTGGAAACAAGCAGTTAATCTGGGCCTCAGAAAGAAAGAGGAGAAAACGAAGGATAAAGCAGACGAGAAAAGAATGCACTAGAAAAATTCAAAAGCTGCGTGATGAACTTCACAACATACAAGTTATACATGTGACAGCAAACAGGCTCTTCTTGAATTGAATTATTTAGTTCCATCCAGAAGTGTCAACACTTTTTGAATTGAATTATTTAGTCCCATCCAGAAGTGTCAACACTTTCTGAATTGAATTATTTAGTCCCATCCAGAAGTGTCAACACTTTCTGAATTGAATTATTTAGTCCCATCCAGAAGTGCCAACACTTCCTGAATTGAATTATTTAGTCCCATCCAGAAGTGTCAACACTTTCTGAATTGAATTATTTAGTCCCATCCAGAAATGTCAACACGAGTGAAACTTTTACAAGAGGAAATATCTAAAATATCTTATAAGACAGAACAATGCCTACTACTACAACTCCTAAGTATTCAAATAGTTATGATTTCTTTATGGTATCTCATAAAAAAAAAAAAGATGTAGCAGCACCATACCATCAATGAAAGTACTGTTTTGATAAATGAAAACCATAAAAATGTAATGAGAAATATACTAGACTTTCTTTGTATTTTGTAAAACCCTTTACAACTTTATTATATAATACATTTCAAGTTAGTAGAAAAGTAATAAAATACACAACCATTCTGCATTAAGATAAATCACTGGTCTATTAAAATAAACCATTCAACACAAAACAATAGTCTCAAGTAAAAACTTCACACATAGCATTAGTCACTAGGCCTCAAGTACAAATAAAGTTCACACATAGCATTAGTCACTAAGTCTGAAGTACAAATAAAGTTCACACATAGCATTAGTCACTAAGTCTCAAGTACAAATAAAGTTCACACATAGCATTAGTCACTAGGTTTCAAGTACAAATAAAGTTCACACATAGCATTAGTCACTAAGTCTCAAGTACAAATAAAGTTCACACATAGCATTAGTCACTAAGTCTCAAGTACAAATAAAGTTCACACATAGCATTAGTCACTAAGTCTCAAGTACAAATAAAGTTCACACATAGCATTAGTCACTAGGTCTCAAGTACAAATAAAGTTCACACATAGCATTAGTCACTGAGTCTCAAGTACAAATAAAGTTCACACATGTAACAATAATCACCGAGTCTCAAGTAAAACTAAAGTTCACACATTAACCACTCAGTCTGAAGTTCAACTAAAGTTCACACATTAACATTAATCAATCAGTCACAAGCACAATTGATATTTGCAAACAGCGGTTGTAACAACACCTGAGGCAGAACTCTACAATATGATTTACTGACCAACATCTTTGACTGTTTTAATATTATTATTCTACAATAAAAACATGAGTAAATTTAACGTAAGACATGTCACTGACCTATTACTGTCACATCTTGTAGCTTCACTCAAGGAGAACTAAATATCTAATAACCTGTCTATTTAACAGAGAAGCAAGTGAAAGAACCAAACCGGCACTAACAATTGCTAAAAGAATGAATACGTGCCAAGTTCTTTCACAGATTGATCTAAAACATTTAGTTGAGGTCTAGTCGTGTAAAATTGGTTCACTTTTCAACATTGTATATTTTAGAAACTGTACTTTAAGCCATCGTTTTCTAAGATAAAGATGTGTTTTTGGACATTAACTTTATCAACCACATTTCTAAGCAGGAAAAGAAACAAAGATATACTAAAAACAATTATTAAAGAAAACAAGCAAAGATGAAAAAGGAATGTGAAAGAAGTCGATGTATTAAAAACAAAGAAAAGTACGAATTTCTCGTTACCTCCGTGAAAGCCGTTTCCAAGATTTCCTTCTCTTTAATCACATGACTATCGAGATGAATTAGACCCAGAAAATTGAGACACAATGGAGCAGTTAGACGACAAAGTAGCCTAAGAAACATACAAAATTTACAAAACATTAAAAAAACAGTTTGTACGTGTAATACGTCCAGAAATTACCTGATTAATTAAAAATTCAGAGGATTAATCACACTTTTAAAGAATGATTTGTATTCTAACCCAGTGATATTTGGCCGCAGGTGTGAGCCATGGCGTCGAGTGCGCTTGGTATACGTTAAGTTCCTGACTGTGCAATGCTGCTACAGGTAGAACTTAAGTCTGGAAGAATACATCACAGCCCTTTCTGAGGAAGGATGTTCATATCTTAAGATTGTTTAAATGATGTACAGCCAAAAGACAAAACATTACAAAAAGAAGAAGCCTTCAATGTTCTCCAAACAAGCAGAAAATCTTGCACAGCAGAGCACTTAGAGCAACAACATGCTCCAAAACCATACTCAAAGTTAATTCAGAGCATTTAGAGCAACAACATGCTCCAAAACCACACTCAAGGTCAATTCAGAGCATTTAGAGCAACAACATGCTCCAAAACCACACTCAAAGCCAATTCAGAGTATTTAGAGCAACAACATGCTCCAAAACCACACTCAAAGCCAATTCAGAGCATTTAGAGCAACAACATGCTCCAAAACTACACTCAAGGCCAATTCAGAGCATTTAGAGCAACAACATGCTCCAAAACTACACTCAAGGCCAATTCAGAGCATTTAGAGCAACAACATGCTACAAAACCACACTTAAAGCCAATTCTGAGCATTTAGAGCAACAACATGCTCAAAAACCACACTCAAAGCTAATTCAGGGCATTTCCCTTATTCACAAAGTGAAGGCTATGGTTATGAAAGAGAACCCTTTGACACTCAAAAAAATCTTCGTAACAAAGTTGAATAAATCCCCTGGTAATGTTAGCAAAATAATAAACAAGATTAGATGTTGATGAAGGTTCACGATCTTCTTCCCACACATCAAAGTTAATGGTTGTCTTCATGAGAAAGATGACCAAAAGAACTGAAACCATATCAACCCCATTCAAGCACATAACTGTCAAATCCCCTGGTGCAGCTACAATGGACTACAGCACCTTGGTCTGTTTAAATATGGTCTTGGAAACCACAATCCTTGTACAGCAGAGAGTTTGTTAAGATGCTTAGTTTAAGATTGATGTTGTCATCCTTGGAAAAAGCCTGTTATAATGGACATTGTGGTGTTGTCAAGTGATAGTGCATTACCATGACCATCAGGTTGGATTGAGCATAATCCATTACGGAGGAAGTACTCGAAGGAGGAACGCGGGACCTGGAATATCACTCTTATAAAGTGTGACTAACCCTCAGTATACTTATCATTTCAGAAGTTAATGTAGTTTTTCTATCTATTTTCGATAGATGGTTATCAAAACTTCAGAAACTTCGTGTTTTAATGACATAACTATTGGGTAAGAGATATAACACTTTTTAATAAGACATTTTATGTGGCAGGAAACTACACACCCAATATCTTGATAATCATTACTAAGCTAATGAAATAACAAAATACAACTTTGTGCTTTATCACGACATATTTATACACTTCTTTAAAGTTTACTTGACTCCTAGATTGTAGGACTAACCAAAATCTCTTAGGCCTAACCTTACGAGATACTATTGGGATTATGTCCAATGATATCACTAACTGCAAAAATGAATCAATACCTTATGATCATTATAAGTTTTATAATTTTATAATTATAATTTTATATACAGCTAATACATTAAATTAGCTATATTAATTACTAGGTTAATTTTTAGTTCGGACAACAAGCAGTTTTACTTACATTCCACAGAAGATAAGACTGTATTCATCCGTCTGATGATGAGGTGCTAAGTAGTAGTAGTTTAAGACTCGAACCTTGAAGACAGTGTAGTACGCACATACACAAAGGTAGGCAATAGTCAAAATGGACACCAGCTAGACAAAGGTTAAAGAACATTTATAAATCATACTAGAAACTATTTCCAGGGCTTCAATAGACACTTTTGTCTTATTTTATACAAAGACATTTTTTATATACTTTTTGCTTTGCTTGTTTATTTTTGGAAACTCATACAAAGCTACTCAAGGACTATCTGTGCTAGCAATCACTAATGTTGATGATAGACTAGAAGGGAGGCAGCTAGCCAACACCACCCACTACTAACTCTTGGACTACTCTTTACCAATGAAAAGTATGATTGACTTTCACATTATAATGCTCCCACAGTTCTAGAAGGCAGGCAGCTAGTCAACACCACCCACCACTAACTCTTGGACTACTCTTTACCAATGAAAAGATGATTGACTTTCACATTATAATGCTCCCACAGTTCTAGAAGGCAGGCAGCTAGCCAACACCACCCACCACTAACTTATGGACTACTCTTTACCAATGAAAAGTATGATTGACTTTCACATTATAATGCTCCCACAGTTAAAAGGGCAAGCACGTTTGAACCCATAGGCTGTGAGTCGAGAACCCTAACCATCAGATCATGCAAGGCCAACTACCAATGCAAACGTTTGTAAAAAAAAATTATGTATCATACAGAAAGTGTCTTATAAACTGAATCAACAAAATTTCACAACCAAACAGGTAGTTTTAAGTTTTTTTACAACAAAATTCACATGATAAGAAAGTGTCAAAGACGTCCAAATAACTAATTATGGATTAAGATTTATGTACTAAACAGTAAGATGCTTTGAAGATGGTATAATTACATTTGATTATACAGTTTAACAAAGATGGTATCAGTACCCCCGATTGTGTAACTGGAGACTGCTTTTGATAAGCTTATGTTCTTTTAAACGAGTTGAAAAATTTATGACAACACTTGTGTTTAGATCACCAGTAGTCCAATATATCAACAACATTTAAACCGTTCACTTTTTATTATAATTTGTTTAGTTCCGCACATAAAATGATTTTACTTGATTTGTTTATAACACGTGTAGCCTTCAGAGTATTGTATGATCTACGCAGTATCTTACGTGATCGTGCACTTTAATGTGGGATCTTCATTACACGAACATCCACAAGAGTTTCAAATGGCACCTAGACTAAACGTTGAACACACTAACTTCCTGAACACGTCAAGACTTCTTGAACTCGTTGTCGGTACAAGTTGTAAGAAATTCAAAATATAAAAAGATTGCTCCGTGTGGCACTTTGTTAGTTCTTATCATTAAGTAATTCTATGGTCTCAGTTCCTACACCGTTTATTTGTTTACTGTTATTTTTCTTGTTACCTAATAAACACACACCATACGATTAATGGAGAAAAATCCTTAATCAGTTTTACTTACATAGAATTCTTAAACTCACCTCAATAGCAATATAGTCATAATTTCTTCTTGCCAGATCAACAAAGACAGCAAAAAGTGAGAGAGTTGGTGATCGGGTGAAAAAGGTCATTTCTGACCACACAACAATAACACTGAAGGTTGCAAGAACAACGGCCAAAGTTCGGAACACCCAGATACGAACCAGACACTTCCAGTACCATTCTACAATGAAAACAATCAAATGACAACATAAACTTTAGAAATAAGTAAAACAAGGTTCTCTTTCGCATATCTTTGGAAGTTCATTGTTTCTTCCTTTTTTTATAAACTAATATTTTCTTGCTGTCTAAGTCTACTTCCAGCTTTATGGTTTTATTAAAAAAAAACAAGTCACATTTGTATGTTTCACAGACACTGAAGAGTACAAACATGGCTCATAATTTTAGATTTATCAATTAGTTTGAAAATCAAAAGCATTATTACATTTCAACCTCTTTTTTTATGAACATACTAATACAGTATAGAGAAAAACATTTTTTCAACCTACCTGTTTTCATAAAGTTATTTGTGTTTGAATTTTGCACAAACCTTCTCTAGTACTAGCTGTCCCCAATTTTGAAGTGATAGTCTAGAGGGAAGCTGTCCCCAATTTTGAAGTGATAGTCTAGAGGGAAGCTGTCCCCAATTTTGAAGTGATAGTCTAGAGGGAAGCTGTCCCCAATTTTGAAGTGATAGTCTAGAGGGAGGGCATGTAGTCAACACCTTTCACCAAACTTTTGGACTAATTATTACCAATAAATAATAGTGGGATTGAACATCACTTATAAAACCTCCGTGACTGAAAGGGTAGGCATGTTGAATGGGGTTCTATCCTGCGACCCACAGATTGCGAGTCAACAATCCTTATCATCAGGCTATGTCAAACCTTACACAAAGATATTGTTTTCATGTTATACTTCTGAATTAAACACCATAGTACCTGTTCTTTAGAAAGTCATGTTTTTATTCAACGTAATCATAAAATCATGACTAAACAAGAGGGAATCCTCAATAGCTGCAGCAGTTAAAATTCCTTTGAGCAGGATTAGAGTAATTAATCTACGAGACAATTTTTCCTATTTATTAGCTATATTTTTGTGCACCACCAATACCAAGCATAGGGCAGGTATAAACCAGATTCAGGATCTCTACCAGCCTACCCTCAAATTGAAATTATATTAGGCAGGATTAGAGTAAATTAATCTACGAGACCTTGGATGTGGTCAAACACATCAGTCAAAAGGGTTTGACCTCCTTAGTTCAAAACTGTAATTAGATCTCAAATCAGTCAAGATATGACAGAGCTATGAGCTAAAAGTTTGCCCTTCAATAAATAAAAAAACTCAGAGCTATTCTATGAGCCGCTAAGCTACGGCTAACAACTAAGTTATGAGCCGCTAAGCTACGGCTAACAACTAAGTTATGAGCCGCTAAGCTACGGCTGGGCCAACTAGAAAGGAAGCTTATAGTGTTACTGGAATTGGATCAGGGCCAACTAGAAAGGAAGCTTATAGTGTTATTGGAATTGGATCAGGGCCAATTAGAAAGGAAGCTTATAGTGTTACTGGAATTGGATCAGGTCTGCAACAAGAAAGGAAGCTTATAGTGTTACTGGAATTGGATCAGGGCCAATTAGAAAGGAAGCTTATAGTGTAAAGAGAGCTGAGTTTAAACTTAACTAGAAAATGTGTTCATAGCGTAAACTAGATAGAAGAGAGAACACGAATAAAAGCATAGAGTACTGAAGGAGTTAAGTTAGGACACAACTATTGAAGAAATTTATCACGTAAACTGGAAAAAAAAAAGGCATGAGTAAAAAGATAGAATCATATGAATTGGATTGTGTGAAGAAGCTTTTAGAACTGTACTTCCTGGACTCTATCAAATCCAAGGAGCTCTAGAATTAGAAAAGAAAAGACAAGCACAATACTACGAGTACCCGCTGTAACCCAAGTTGTTTATTCCTTCTATACATCTATTTATTTTCTAGAAATTCTCCACGATTACCAAGATTTAACTGTCACTTAACCACCAACATTACTTCCACAATATATATAATCACACTCACCCGATGCACCTTCTAACATACAATCAGCAGGTGGAAATTCTTCCCTTTCCTTTGTTACACTTGTATCACGTTTTACAATGTCCAAAACATTATCATCATCAGTCTGGTTGAATTGGGAAGTAATGTCATGTTGTTGTAAATCATCAGGCTGCTCAGTTTTCACCCTGACGAACATGTTCTAAGATATAAACAGTCACAAGAGATCAATAACCAAGAACACTAAAGCAGATCTCGGAAGAGCTACAAACGGTATTTTGTTGTGAATTAATGTCTAATAAGTTTCTTCACTAAGTCACATAATATCATGAACAGCGAATTACTCGAAACAGAAAACACCAGTATAATTGTATGTAACAATAAAATGTTAGGTAATAGTAATTATTTTAACCAGGATATTTACCAATTTAAATTTACGCAGCATAGAATATATAGAGAATAATAATAATATATATTGCTATACACATATTTAAAACTCTCATAAATAGATTCACCTTAGAACCCCCCCCCCCCCCATTATTCACCTACAGATTATTAAATATACAAAACGTAAACATTTAGACACTCAAAGAAAAATTATGTTAAAAATACTAAACTCAAAAAGTACAAAATATTTCTAAATCTTATACACAAAAAATAAATAAAAATTCCATTTATATTTGTAATTTCATTTCTTAGATAACCAAAAAAAATTTTATAGACAAGACAAACAATTAAAGTCTAGAAAATTTGTAGGAGAAAAGGATTTTTCTTAGTAGAATATCATACTTATAAAGATAAAAACATACACGTGTAATAAAGCTATTCTAATCCGTATAAAATAATTAATTAATGGATATCCAATCTTTAATTTTCTAAGGCCCAAATTCTCATACCTTCAACTATCTATACGTACTTCTGAAATTCTAATCTATTTCCTATACTTTCAAGGTTTGTTTTTAATAGTGTGCTTTTGACTTCTGTATTTCTTATGTCAAACAATTATGACCGATTTATTTTTAGTCACATTAACAAATCTCTTTAATCTATCTGACTCGATAGCAGTAACCTCTGAATGAATTGAGGGCACTTGAAACAATTACTATCAATTGACGGTCGAAAACTCGAGATATAAGTGACGTGAAAGACGACTTGAGTTTAAGACAATGATGTAACCAGTTAAAACTCAAGCCAAGTCACCCACATCTAGAGATTGGGTTTATTATCAAGACAGGAACTTCCTGTATGTTTATGTTCATCATGCAATAATTAGGAAAAAAGTAATTAAAACAAATCTACTGACCATATACAGAAGATGACCATCTGCACTAGTCCTGACTATGAGTACGAATAACTGGATTAAGTGTGGTCAACTGCTGGGTAAAAACCGTTCACATACAACGTCTGTACAGACTACTAATGTCCTCAAATTTCGCTTGAATAAAGTAGGTTCTTCTGTTGTAAATGGTTATAAATATAAAAATTCAAACGAAAACCATCTTTAAAAACAAAATAAAAACCTAGATTAACACTTAGACTTACACTAGGCAGTGCCGGATTAAGTATTTAAATAGGCCCCCAGACGTATTCTCACCCTATTTCGTTAATAAGAATTATTTGTTCATAAATTTCTTATTTTCGAATACAATTAAATAAACTAAGATAAAAATACTAATCAACTTTTATTTTTGAACACAACTAAATAAACGAAACAAAACTATAGATCAATGTTTTTATCTTTGAACACATTGGCGTCCGCAGAAATATTTCCAGGGAGGGGCAAAGTTGTGTGAAATTGTGAATTAAATAAAACATTTATTTACGTTTGCTGAATGAATAAAAAAATAATTATGTTTCTCGTTTTCCCCACTCGCCCATGTTTGACCACAAATAAAACAATATAGATCTTGATCAATAAACAAATCAAATGTTTACTTTTCTGTCTTTCATTTGAGAAAAGGATCCAAGAACATCTGAAAATTCATGTTTACAAAAGTTCATGTTCAATTGATATCAACGACAAATGATTCAATCTTTTTTGCAGAATACTTGTTTGATTTTCATTTTTAATAATCTTCTGTTTGAAAAGGATATTTCGCCCGAGGAATTTGTTATCATGAGGGATCAGATAAATTCTCATCGCAATTTCAAAATCTAGAGTAGAATCCACGCTCAATGAAAAATACTTAGCTTCCTTCACTTCACAGACAATCGCTGATGATAGTTTATTTCCTCAATATTCTTGTCACGTCCTCACAAACTGTAGACGATAAATATGAATCTTTTCCCTGATTTCTATACGTGGAAAGATGATTGCTAAGAAAGGGGTCAAATACAGCAATCAGTTCTAAAATACCCAAGTAATATCACGTGACTTGAGTATCTCACTTCCTCCACGAAAAGTTAATCCACTGGTTACTAAAAATTTTACCGTTGACACAATGGGCTTTAAAACATTCTACCAATATTCTTTTTCTTTTCGAAACTGTGCGTCTATATCTGTTTCTATTCGTCCTTTGAGTAAAGGCATTCATGTTCAGACAAACATAGATTCTCGGTGACACAAACTATCTTCGTGCTCTTTTATGCGAGAAATTAGGTGTTTCCAATCACTGAATCCTTCATAAGAAAACTGCCTTTTTGTACTCCCGAATAATTTGCATACAAAGCACTATATCGAACCTTTCCATGGTGAACACCGTAGCCATTTTCGTTTCAATTCTTCTCCATACACATGCTTTCTTTATAGAAATTTTCTATTCTGGTCAGAATATTGCCTTTCAGATTTATTAAAATCACAATCTGATATTTTAAATTGTTCTTGTCCTTTCTGAATCCAGTATTTACGCATTGATTCTGTTATATCTTTCCATTCTCCAGTATCAGTGGATTTACTTGATTCATCAATAATATTTTCATTGATAGTTTGAGATTCACTACCTGTGCATTCTAAAGATACACAAGGAGCGCCAACATTATCATCTCTTGGCGTAGGTAAGTAAGGATACATTTTGCCTTTAAATGTTGATTGAGCAGAAGAGGTTAAGCGTAAAAATGCAAAATTCCACAAATTAGGCACCTGTCTGACTTGTTTCTCGTGCATTCACTTTTCCTGTTCAACTTTTTTAAGTTTCGCATCACCACTTTCGTGTCGTTTTTTATTTCCGCCATTATTTAATTAATATATTTTATTAACGCCTTCTATCATATGTTTAAAATAAAAATTAATTTTTAAATTATTTATTTTTGTAGCATAACATAATAAAATATCTATCAACATGTGGATTTTGTTAATAAATAAAGAGGTTCAGAAAAATAATCTTTATTATATTAAAATATACATTAAAAACAGAAAAGAGTAGTAATTCAAAAAGTTTAAAAGCACGGACATGTTTAGTTCCCGAGTTGATTCTTAATTAAAAAATATTTTTTACTTAAAAAGATAGGCAGACAATTTTTGTTGAAGAGACATATCAAAACACGAATTAAAATGAGTAAATAAACAATAATTTTAGAAAATTTATTTTTTTAATGAAGAATGACATTAGATTATTTGAATTTAAAACTTTGGTGGTACAAAAATAGTCTGCCTTAGTTTTAATATCACAAATGCCAAAATAAAATGTATTTTTTTATCCTGGAAAAATTGTTAACATATTATAAAAAAAAAAGTTTAAATATTTTATTACTTTTTTACTCAGAATCTCTCTATTTAAAAAAATTGGCCTTTTAATATGATATGGTTTATTGTATAACATAAACTGCACTTAGATAAGGGAAGATTAACTAAGTATAAGTGTTTATTTAAATATTACTCTAGCCAAGTTAGCCCTTGCGTTAATCCGGCACTACGGTTGTAGGTTTAGAAAATGGTAATAACAATTCAGAATTGAATGGAACGCGAGTAACTGTAGGTTAAATAGTGAGGATGGAAATGAAGCAAGTTACTTTTGGAGCTTTTTTTTACAAATAGATCGAGGTCAAAAATCCCAGACTGATGACATTTGACGTTACGAGTTGTTATCTAGAAATCTTCTTTACATTTCCTCGACATGAAACAAGTGCCTATACTTATGAGTTTAATACCACTACTTATCTAATCCAATATACCCGAATAGATATATATTCCTTTTCTGAACTATCGAAAGATACAGCCATAATATTTGCACACTACAAGCTATAACTCCATCTCGTAATTCTTGCTCTATGGTTGATGTAAATCTGTTACAGGAGCCAAAGAAGGATTGTAAACCATTTATTGTTCCAATAAGATGTCTTTACTGAAACCTGTCTCATTTTAATTCCGTTCTGCTGTTAAGAATTTCATACCCACACAAAAGTAGGAATACTTCAAATTTTATTTTGTTTAAGACTGTTAACGTTTAATAAGGTAGCTGTAATTGAAAGCAATAAACATATGTGTAATGAAATTTGTATATTATTAACAGCGTGGAAAGGTTTTGATATACACTTATTTTCAATGGTTCACTCCTTTACATAATGGGCTATCTGCTCTAGTCGTCCCTAACGGTGAATTGACAGCCTTAGAGGGATGAAACCCAACAATCCTAGCACTTACAGAGTTTACTGTATCAGTTTTTTTTCATGATAATACACGTTCTTTGCCGAAAGCGTATCACCAAACGCAATCAGATACGTGTGTATTTCTATTATTACATTCTAGTGTTTTTACCCCGAGCTATCTTCCGATTGAATGAGTTTACGCGAGAGGCTGGTCGAATAAGACTTGTCACTTGTGATCTTGAGTCCAATGACGGTCATAAGTATTTCTTTTATCATTCAGTGACCCTGAACACTTCACACAACTTAGAAGTGACCCTGAACACTTCACACAACATACAAGTGACCCTGAACACTTCACACAACATACAAGTGACCCTGAACACTTCACACAACATACAAGTGACCCTGAACATTTCACACACCTTACAAGTGACCCTGAACATTTCACACAACTTTACAAGTGACCCTGAACACTTCACACAACTTTACAAGTGACCCTGAACACTTCACACAACTTACAAGTGACCCTGAACACTTCACACAACATACAAGTGACTCTTAACACTTCACACAACTTACAATAGAAAAACTTTTCTCATATTACTTATCGTATCTCTTGCTTATTTCGAGTTTGAATGAAAAGCTAGGCTTCGTAAATATATCTTTTGGTTTGTTGCGCAAGTTAAAACAATCACTTAACTTATTCCAAGACCACAATTAGTTTATAAATAGAAAATCTGCTCTATCTACTCAAGTTTATCTAACAAGTTTATATGTTATAGGGTATATACATGGTCGAGAAATGAAAACACAAGTCTTTCCATTTCATGTTGATCCATGTCGTACGTTAAAGGGGAAACCAGTATGCTGTGCGGTCTTGTAGTTAATAGTATACAGCGTGCATGAGTGCCAACAGAAATATTTTCGGGGGGGGGGGGGTGCCCCTTCCTGCGTTGGTTTGTTCGTTCGTTTGTTTTGAATTTCGCGCAAAGCTACATGAGGGCTATCTGCGCAAGCCGTCCCTAATTTAGCAGTGTAAGACTAGAGGGAAGGCAGTTAGTCATCACCACCCACCGCCAACTCTTTTACCAACGAATAGTGGGATTGATCGTTACATTATAATGCCCCCACGACTGAAAGGGGGCGAGCATGTTTGGTGGGACGGGGATTCGAACCCGCGACCCAAAGGTTGCGAGTCGAGCTTCCTAACCACCTGGCCATGCCGGACCACACAAACGCAGAAATTACACATAGCGACTGAAAATAATTAACTTAAATTGTTTTTGTTTTATTATTTTGATTACATATCTTTAACTTTAGCGGAAATATCGTTAAGAAAGAGGAATAAATAAAAGATGAATAAATCCAATCTAACTATTATAAGTGTTCCATAATTGCTTCGTTACTAATTAATATTAGCAAATTAAATTAGCTACAATACACTTGGTTATTTTTTTTTTTACTTCTGAACTCGTACGTAGGGGTGTGTGTTGTATTTATTTGGAATTCTTTGATCAGAAGTTATTAATGATGGTGTTCTTTTCGGGAATCCAGGACAACACAACTAGACACCTAAAAAATGACGAACATTTAAACACCACCTATTCATTATAAAATAATAATAATCACAACAGATATGTTCTATGTAGAACACTATATAAACATATGAAAGACCTGAATACATCTAGGCCTAATAAATTATAATATATATATATATGCAGGCCTCCTACATTACCAGTTCAATTTACCCCATTATATGTATTTTAAGTATGTTGTGAAGTTTTAACACCCCCCTCTAAAATTATTAGGTGTCTAAATATCCTATTTCCTCACTTTTTTTAGGTGTCTAATTGTCCGGTGACCTCTTTTAGGCGTATGTCAATATATTATTAAAAACTAGCTGGAGTACTCATCCCCTGGACGGAAGTTATGTAAATTCATGATTAATGAAAGGTTATCTTAGAACATAAAAAGTTGCTTCCAATATATGTAATTGTAAAAAAAGATCATAAAAACTGAAAAACACAAAATGTGAAACCGCAAATTTGCATGCATCTCCGCATATTTATATAGATAACAGACAGTACCAATAAGTTTTCCATGCTTCATATATATTTTCATGCGAATTTACTAAAGGTAGACTCTCCTATCAAAGCTATCGTTAACAGGTCTTGTTACTCAAAATTATTGTTGCGTCATCGAGTCACATGACTACTGTGACGCAACGTTTCTAGAACTATCCTGTACTTTGGCGAATGTTCTAGTTCTTACTAGATATAGGGTAGGCTGGTATATAAAAGAGGGGAATGTAATGTCTGGGTAGATAGTGTGTAATTGATCTGCAGTCAGAAGTATTATTGACGTTCGTTGATATAGCGTTTGTTTTAGCGCGATTGTGGAAGTTGAGTGTTTCGGTAAAGTTATATTCGGAAAGAATAAACCAGTTTTATTAAGTAAAGACTTGTGTCATTAAAATTTCGTCGGAACAAAGTTACAAAAAAAATCAATTAACAAACGGAGACGTAACATTATTTAACTAACTATGTGAAGTTTAATGCATAATAGCAAAGAAATTATCATACATTGGTTTGGTTGTTTGTTTGTGTGTAAGTAGTAAAAGTGGGCTATCTGTGATCTGCCCACTACGGGTATCGAAACCTGGTTTCTAGCCTTTATGTCCGCAGACATACCGCTGTTCCATGGTGGGGCGTCATCATACATTGGTTTGGTTGTTTGTTTGTGTGTAAGTAGGCAAGGAGCTACATAATGGGCTATCTGTGATCTGCTCACTACGGGTATCGAAACCTGGTTTCTAGCCTTTATGTCCGCAGACATGCCGCTGTTCCATGTGGGGGGGGGGGTGTCATCATACACAGACCCTGATGAAAGAATTAAAACAAACAGTATTTTGATATTCATTCTTATCATCTAAGCCGATATTCTAACCCAGTGGCAAGAAATCATTTTTTGGCACCCCACGCATTGTTGTTACTGTATCCCTAGTGGCAAAGCGTCTGCGAACTTGTAACGCTACAAACCAGGTTTAGATACCCGTAGCAGACACAGTATAAATAGTCCATTGTATAGCTTTGGGCAGAACTACAAACAAACAAACTTTTATATTTGTACGGTAGTTTTTAAAACTTCATTATTTTCAGATATAATTTATATGCTCCTCTAGTCTCAGTTACCCCCCCCCCCCAACCCTGGGGAGGGGTCACGCCCCACTGTTTGCACACCATGATTATAATTGATGGTTTTAAGTCCAAACAAACAATTAACAATGTTAACTAGATTGTGTCACAGTGTAACACGTTTATTCAACAGTACACAGTACATCAAATAAATTTATGTTCTCCACACTTTGATATTTAAAATAAATGTTTCCATACTAACTGTGCCAGAAAACAAACAAACAATAAATTACTGAGTGAGCCTACAAAATAAAAGTCTGAAGATGACTAACCCTAATAATAATAATACCCATAATGGTCTTATTACTTACTACACATGGAATTTTAGATGTTTCTATTAAATAACACTTCGAACCAGTCACTAGTTTCACATACATCAAGATATGTAGCTTATTACGAAAGCGCTACGCGTTTATTATTCAGACGCATGATTTCAAAGAAGAAATAATGGAATTTCTAATACAAGTTAATGTTATATCGAATGAAGTCTGATGAACATTTCACATAAATACACACTGTTCTCCCATTTCAATTTAATCTTTAAGTTCCACAGCTTAAAATAAGATAAAACAATACAATTAATAGTGATAAGTAAATGGTAAAGTAAAAAAAAAAGTATCTAACACTATACAGGATAAATGATACTTACAAAGTTTGAAAATTACATCAATATTTTTTTTGGGGGGGGGCTTGATTAATAATGATAATAATAGTAATAACTTTATTAAAATCTAATAACTATTAAATTTCATACACTATCTAGCTTTGGAATGACACAATTTTATATTTAAACTGCTAAGCCAAGTAGAATGCCTAAAAAACAAAAAAAGTACTATCCATTACACAAGTCAACGCTGCGTTATTTTTTTTGTCTCAAACCAAATGTATTTTTCTTTATGGATCAGCTTTATACTCTTTATCACTTACTTTAGTAAGTGTTGTCCCAGGTCCATATGTTATTGAAAACTAACAATCATTAATCTGTTTGTACCACCTGCAGATATACTGTGTCAAGTAGCATCCAAGAAAAACAATTTCTTAACTCACAGTTTCTAACACGAAGCAACTTTTACTTCCTTCACAAACTCTCTATTTTATCAAAGGAGTGTACTTGCTGAATGTCACATACAGTGTATCTTACTCCAAGAACAACAGTTCTAAAACTCTTAAAAAAATACATTCATACACCATTATTATTCACACAGACCAGTGGGATAAAATACTATTAATTTTGACAGCATGTTGACGTCCTTCATTTGGCACTGTCGAAATTAAATAAATATACATGACATAAATCAAATTAAAAATAAAATAATATATAAAATTCCTTGTCAATAAGTAATATATAAATAATAACATCAGTTACTTTTACAGTTTCTTGGCTTGTTTACTTTTCTATTTTTCATATCTTCTTGAAACTGACAAAAACAACATCAGTCACTTAGGGCTTGTTATTGGAAACTTGTAAAGTTTTTTTAACCAACTACTAACTCTTATTTATCTATTACTTATCGTAGTAACACAATCATTTTATGAATAGTTTCAGAACCATAATCATATTATTTACTGACACAGACAGTTATATTTAGAATAAGCACTAGTCTTGTGTCACTGAACAAAACAGGAGAAGGTCAGTGAAAGTTTGGTTTTAAATGGACCATCAAGTCTTTGAAATGTGTAAGTACCCAAAGCTTCGAAGCAACATTTGATAGATATTCCTAACATAATGAAGAGTGAGTTGCGTTTAAAACTACAGAAAAACAGCCTCTGCAAGTTACTTGTGTAAATACAGAATTGAATGAAGTTTTCAATAATTCAGAAAACTGTTCTTTCATCCATCCACAATCTGCTACATTAACCATGCTATATACCATAGAAATAAATAGATTAAGTTCATTTGATGAAACCAGAGGTTATAGGGGACGAAAAGAACCAAAGAATGAGACACGAGAGATTATAAAACCATTGCAATTATGTGCGTGGATAAATTGAATTTTTCTGTCATGTGTTCTACGCATTGCAACCAACAATGTTAGCTTGAGAACAAAACCTTTAGTACGTAGAGTACATTAACTTTAAAGACATAAACATCCTAATGGTAGTAACGGGTTGATAAGACGGTATTACCCGATGGTAGTAACGGGTTGATAAGACGGTATTACCCGATGGTAGTAACGGGTTGATAAGACGGTATTACCCGATGGTAGTAACGGGTTGATAAGACCGTATTACCCGATGGTAGTAACGGGTTGATAAGACAGTATTACCCGATGGTAGTAACGGGTTGATAAGACAGTATTACCCGATGGTAGTAACGGGTTGATAAGACAGTATTACCCGATGGTAGTAACGGGTTGATAAGACAGTATTACCTGATTGTAGTAACGGGTTGATAAGACAGTATTACCTGATTGTAGTAACGGGTTGATAAGACAGTATTACCTGATTGTAGTAACGGGTTGATAAGACAGTATTACCTGATGGTTGACTTGCTGCCTACTTGTAGTTTTAGTTTGCTGCTTGAACTGAAATGATAGTTATACAGTCAGGATTTCTGAAAAGTGTTCATCACTTTATTTATGTTTAATATAGTTTTGAAAGAACCTTAAGTATCAGAATGCAGAATTATCAATTAAATATATACCTTCTCTCATTGACACACTAATGACTCCAACTGTTTCTTTACAGTTATTGTGTACGACAACAGTTCCTGCTCGGAGGCCGTGTAGTGGCAGTTAAAAAGAGTTGTAGTCCATGTAGGCATGTAATCTTAGGATAGAATTGTAAAAATTGTCACTTCTATAAAACAGTCGTAGTCTGTACATGTGTGTAAACTCAGGAGACTAAGACGTTGCTGTCATTGAGAAGCCGATCAGAAAGGTTTAAATATCCCATTATGTACCAAAATCTAATTGACAGCCTTGAAGCATTGACAGTTATTAATTGGTATATTACCTTACAATAAGACTGGTAAATAATTTTAATCATATCCTTCTCAATTGGACCATTACACATTTCCAGTAAAAGTGTACAATAGAATTTCGACCACAAACCATAAAGCTAAAACATTGCTTGAAACAAGTAAAACGTGCATCTGAAAACAATCTGAGGTTTATATCACAATAAAAATAACCCTTGGTTAACACGTATATTTAAAAACACATCAAAGTGATCGAACGAGTTGACAGCCAAGTTTTCTTATTGTGCATTCTGAGATTGACTATTATTACAAAAAATGGAAAAAACACATTTTTGCAATTCTAAGAAGATTTTTTTTTTTAAAACAATATAGATTAAGATATTAATTTTTGGGAGGGAAGGATATCCATGTTAATCGTTGGGAGGGAAGGATATCCATGTTAATCTTTGGGAGGGAAGGATATCCATGTTAATCGTTGGGAGGGAAGGATATCCATGTTAATCTTTGGGAGGGAAGGATATCCATGTTAATCGTGATACAATTCCAGTAACACTATAAGCTTCCTTTCTAGTTGGCCCTGATCCAATTACAGTAACACTATAAGCTTCCTTTCTAGTTGGCCCTGATACAATTACAGTAACACTATAAGCTTCCTTTCTAGTTGGCCCTGATACAATTACAGTAACACTATAAGCTTCCTTTCTTGTTGCAGACCTGATACAATTCCAGTAACACTATAAGCTTCCTTTCTTGTTGCAGACCTGATACAATTACAGTAACACTATAAGCTTG